AAGGCTTTTTAAGGACCCGCGGGAACCCTTTTTACTCTTAAAATAAGATAATTCGATAATATGAACTTGAAATAGGACAATGTAATTGCGTTTTCCTATTTTAAATGGAAACTGTTTTATTCCATTGGCAAAATGTATATTTTATCTCCTCAATTCAAGAACAAATGCACTTAATTTAAGAAAAAATGACCTAGATTTAGTTTTTTTTTTCCAGTGTTGGACCCTTTCTCAACCTGGTTCCCTGTTCTTTTTGGCCCTCATGTCCCTCCGTTGTCACACAAACTTGCCCCTTTTTCCATTTCCCCAGCACCTCTAGACCCACAGCTAGTTCCTGATGGTCCCTCTGGCGTTGTGGCGTGGAATAAGAGCGCAGACCACGCTTCAATATCGGGCATAAATCAGAAATATCTGCACCAGCCCTTCAGACTTTCTGATTGTTTGAATTAACCTATAAAACATTATATTGTCCCTGAAAGGATCTCATGTCTTCTTTATGAAATTTCCCCCTCTAGTCGAGCAAACATGCTTCCCATAATCAGGACAAACGGTTTGTTGGAACAAAGACAAAAATTATCTGCATTCCACCTAAAAATGCAGGATATAACATTTCAGAGTCTAAATTTCAACATTTTCCAGTGATGGTGTCCATCCTATGAAATATTCCAAGCTTGGTTGATCGTATATCGATATGGGTTCGGGTTTCTGGATGCTTTTATTTAATCAGCAGCAGCTGACGGCTACCTTTCTGTCTCTAATGTTTGAGAAGTAGATTATTCATCGGATGCGTTAATCAGATCCAGATCAGAGGCCGTCTCCGTCACCTATCAGCCACTACAGCACAAACTACACATTCTGTAACCACAGATCTATATGGGGAACCTGGACAGGAAGTTAGCTGAAGTGTAAGCGACTTTTTGGTTCCTCTAACTCGAACTCAGAGAGCTGAAGGGATTTCACAATGAGCGTACAGAGAGGTAGGAAGCGGAAGGTTGATTGACAGCTGCAGCGCTGATAAACCAGGAAGGCGGTGCCTGCCAGAGTGGAAACACACACAGAAAGCGCTCCTGTCTGGGTCGCTGCAGAGCATCGCCGTGTCCGTGTCTCTTCCTGTGGATTATCGGCACCGCAAAAACCAACACAGATCAATATTCTGAGGGTGTGTTGGGAAATAATCAGCTTTAACACAATGCAGAAATAGTTTCTCTGACTGTTTTGACTCCTCCCCCTGAGATGCTGCAGTGATAGCATTGTCTGGGATCTCAAACATCCTGCTATCTCCTGCTCGCTCCCACTCTCACTGCGCTGATGTGTTTCCTGGACTCCTGCCGCCTGAAGCTGCGATTTATGGGAAGGAAAAGCGTCCAAGATGATGCACAGCTGGGAGTGGGTGGAGGAGACTGGGATCAACGGGAGCTCTGGATCAGATGGATCATTAGTCCCGAGGTTTTACACATCTGCTCCAGTCTGATGTTCTTCCTCCAAACACATTTAGCTGTTTTATCCACAAACTAACAGCAGAACAAACTGGTCCCCCTGGTTAATGTGGAGGAGGAACTCTAACTGGCCTTATAAACCAGTTTAACAGACAGAAAACCATCTTATTACACCAGTTCTGATCTTTTGCCTCCAGACTCTTATGCTAGGTTCAGACCGGATGCAGCAAAAGCAGCAAAATCGCGTCTGTTGCTTCATTTTTGCTGCTTGTACCAGTTAGTTCTGACGCGCGGCTGAAGCAGCTTTGCTGCTCTGGCTGCGCGGTGCAAAAGTGTGTCTGACGCTCGTTGGGCGGAGCTTCACTATCCTTTCTCTGCCTTGCAGCTATATTTGCTGTGATCAGTGGGAATAAAGTAGTTTTAATATGTTTTAAAGTGAGAAAATGCACCTGAAAACTTAATCATTGCAGTCAGATCATTCAGATTACCATCCTGCCTTCCAATATTATATCTGTGGGAGCCGCTCAGACCCCCACATACCGGCAGTGCACTGTCAGTAGGAATCCCTTCATCAGCAGCCTCTGGCCGGGTCGCCTCCTTGCGGTTTGCCGCCGCGGCTGGAAGGCGGTTTTCAGGTATATAATCCAAACTGCAGGCACCAGGATAATAAAATCGAACATATTCTGTCGGCAGATTTCAGCATTTTAATTTAATTTAGACGTTAATAAACAGTTTCAGAGGAGTGATCACAGCGCTCTGTATCATCAGTGATCTGTCTCTCTCCCTGCCAGCTCCCAGATCAGCTTCTCTGATTGGTTGATGTGGCGCGTTGAGCAGCAAAAGTTTAATTTTTCCATCTCGAGCAGCAGCGCGTCAGATGCTTAAACGCTCCCGACGTGCTGCTTCAGCTGCTCAGACGTGCTGCGGGACCTTTTGCTGCGCCTTGACACGCGTCAACCATTAACTTTGCCTGTAAACTCGCTGCTTCTGCCGCGCCTGCTGCGCCCGGTGTGAACGCAGCATTAAGCCCCGCTAGACTTTAGAAACCGTGCTGACATTGATCCGAGCGTTAACCGAGATAACTGTTAAATGTAAACGGTATGCACAACCGAACCACGCTAAACTGGTACTAGTGCTGGTGAAAATACTCATCCAGGTTGTAATCTTTAACGTTTCTCTTCCATCCAGGAAGTTTTTTCAATTCCAAATGTCAGAAATAGTGTTTAGTTCCAGGTTTTATCCAGCAGCCCAACAAAGCTTAGAAAACATGCAAATAGAAACGGATGAACGGGTCCCCCCCTTTGGAATGGGGGTCATTTAGCTTGTTTTGTTAGCCTGCAATGCTCCATACCTGTCTATGTCTCTGAAAGGGGGGTCGTTAGAGATAATTGCTGGCCTGGCTGAAACAGGTGAGGTGTTTTGGTGCTCTGTAAAGGGGTGGGGGATGCAATGATGCTTTTTTAACTTTAGGAATGACTATGAATCTTCTGGATTCCTGGATGACTGAGAATCTTCACCAGAACTCTAACCATCAGCCATCATTGCCCTAATAATTTCTCCTTTTTTTATTCCCTGGTTTTTATACCCTGCCACAGTGAGCAGTGAAATTAACTCTCTGCATTTAACCCCTCCCCTTGGTGAGCAGTGGGCTGCCACTGTGCGGCTCCCGAGGAGCAGTGTGGGGGTTAAGGGTCTTTGCTCAGAGACCCAGAGTGGCAGTCTGTGGGAGTGGGGCTCAAACCCAGTATGTCTAACAAACTGATTTTTCTGTGGCATCTCATTTTTTTTTAACCAACCAATCTTCTAACTTTTACTTAAACATTGAAGCAGCTGCTGGTTAATAATCACTGAGTGCTGCTGTGCGTCTCTCCTACGTCAGTAAAATGGGACTGCAAATCAGATGTCTCAGAGCAACAGATCCGATGATGTCACACCGAGAGGCGGGACACGGGAGCATCGGGAGAAAGGAAAAAAAACAGACTGAAAACACTGAAAAAAAAACCGGTAGGGACTGTCCACACCAGTCCTCCAGAAAGTGAACTGAGTGTCTCAGGAATCTGTCCACCTGAACCAGCGGGCTAGGTTTGGGTTTAAATAAAAACAAACCAAAACCGTCGCATTTCCGAATTTTCTCAAGTGGTTACACGACTTTACACAAGTGAATAAAGTGAATGTGATTGGTCGTTTATCAAGGGGGCGGGATTGTTGTGGCGGAAGGTTCACAAGCAACTTTGGTTGTGGCCAGTTTGTCGGAAGCATCTTGCTAACCAGTTAGCATCTTAGTGCTAGCAGGTTCCCAATGGGAAATTCCATTGGGACCAAGTAGCACTAAATTGGTGACTTAGAAACGAC